TATGTGTGTGTGTGTGTGTCTGTGTGTGTGTGTGTGTGTGTGTGTGTGTGTGTGTGTGAGATTTGGTCACGACCAGTAATGCCGGCTTTGTGGCGCCGCGCCCGGCTCGTCTGCGTGGGGCTATTGGACGGCGATTAGGATTCAATTAGAAAGTGTTTATAAAGGTGGGCCGGCACTGGGGGTAAACAGGCAGTTATTCCAGAAATGCGTTAATCCCTCATCTTGTGACGATAATTAGCGGGTTTGATCCCACCCCCACCCTGCACCCTTTGCAGCAGGCGGCCGGCCGGGTGGGTCACTGATGGCTTTAGCTTCTGCTTTCATCTGCCAAGTAGCCCCTCGGACCCTCGGAATGACTGTGCTTCTGATCCGGCAACACTTTTACCAAGGACCTCTTGGAATCAGTGGTCTTTTATTTTTCTTGACGTATTTTATTCTTCTCTTGAACAGTGGCCCAGTATTTTTTCAAAATAAAACATCTTTAGGAGTCTGAGATAAATAAAGGAAGTAATGTAAATTCCTTATTCTTTCTGTGCGGCCCGGTACCAAATGACCCAGAGACCGGTACCAGTCCGCGACCTGGGGGTTGGGGACCACTGGTCTATCGTATTGGGACCCATGAAAAACTCAAGGACCCATGTATGAAATTGAAGAGGAAGTCAGCCATTTTGATTTGAATCAGCCATTTTGCGCCGCCTAGATAATGAAAGAAATTGGCCCCTAACACTGATTAACGAGATGTCCATCTTCCTAGGATGCATGTAATGCCTCAAGGGTCCATGCATGAAATTGAACAGGAAGTCAGCCATTTTGGTTTGAAGCCACCGTTTCTGCCTCAGTAGCTCCCCCTGGAAAGTTTGACAAACTTAGCCCTCAGTTTCATTCAGTGATTACGAAATTGGGTTTACGTGTAACAAGACGCACGAAAAAGTCTCAAGGACCCATGCCCAAATTTGAACAGGAAGTCGGCCATTTTGGTTTGAATCAGTCATTTCTCACTTTGTAGCGCACCCTGGAAAGTTAGAAAATAATTTACCCCACACACCAAAGTTTGATTGTGTCAAAGATCCACTATGAAAAATGAACCACTTTCTTTTTAATCTCACAGCATTTATTTGGAACAGTTGATAAAACCGTTTTTTATTTAAATATCTCAGGTTGCGTTTAACTTTCCCTAAAATCCTTCCAAGCGCAACTGTCACATCACACGCAGAACATAATTGCTATAATAAAGCAAGGCCGGTGTGTGACATGTATGCACACACACACACACACACACACACACACACACACACACACACACACACACACACACACCACTATGATGGCAAAGCAAGCCGTGTGTGTGTGTGTGTTTCAGTGTAAGAGCAGCGCTCCGACCAAGCGGAATGATGCATGGCGCGCGCCCCACCTCCATCACACACGATATTATTTTTCCATAATTCTGCACGATAAAATTTCCTTGTCTATTAAGTAATCCTCCAAACGAGGCCCTTTATGAGGCTATAATGAGGCCTAATTGCCGGGGCTAGTGGAGCCACGTGGAAGGGTTTAGGAGGCATTAAGCCGCCGGGTACCGAGCAGCACAGGCTGTTACCTCCTCGCCATTACTTTCATAATTCAGGGAGAAAATTCGTCCATTTAAGGGCAAAAAAAAAAAGGAGATCCTATGATTCCTTTTTTTTCTGCTCTGGGCGATATGCCCTTCCTCTGCTTTCTTTAGAATCAAGATCATTCCTGCTATGATTAAAAAAAAAAAAAAAAAGATAAAATAAAATAAAAACTATGAATGAAATTTTGTGATGTTTTGCGAAGAGAGAAAAGGTGTTGTGGTAAAAGAAAGAATTTGTATTTTTTTTTCCACTAATGTCTGGAAAAAAAAGTACTCTAGAATTTAAAAAAGTAGCTGCGATTGGATCAGTTTTATTTTATTTTATTTAAAAAAGTGTAATACAAGTCATAATGTTTCCAGAACAGTTGTCATCTTACTATCGTCTTTTGTTTGTGTGTGTGTGTGTGTGCAGCAGTGTAATATTTCAAGAATATAAATGGTATTATAAAGTCATAAAGTTAAAAGTATTACAAGAACAGTCTTTTTTTTTTTTTTTTTGATGATGAAGCATTAAATTCAAAGCAGATTTCGGTTAAATAAGCCACAGTGTTTAAAGAATGAAGTCACGCGTTAGCAGATTAAAGTCATAATGTAGCAAAAGGCGTAACAAATAAAAAAAAAAAAAAGTTGGTCTTTTCCCAGAATAAAATCATATGAGAGAAGAGCTGGAGTGTTAAGAATTTCTTTTTTGGTTTAAAACATAAGTTTAAAAAAAAGCTGCAACGTGTCTTGAGAATAGTCCTTTTTGGCGGGAGAAGTTAACATTTTTATGTTAACAAATTCAAGCCATAATGTTAAGAGAAAACTATGAGTAAAAATATATTTTGAATATTTACTTAAAAGAAGACTTAGCATCTCTCATGCTCACGCTGCTCATTGAATGACGCCGTTATTCTTGTAACATTCTGGCTTTTCTGGGAGCATGACTACATAATTCTTGTAATATCTTGCCTCTTTTTTTTTTAACTACGTTTACGACTTGATTCTCGTAATATTACAACTTCTTCTAGCATAGCTTTTTAAATATGCCATTAACACTTCAATCGGTTCCCATTATGATTTCATCCTTGGAACCGTACCACTTTTTCCTTGTAACGGGACGGCTTCCTTTGATTGTAATCTCATCGTAAATTCGACCACTTTGATTTTTTTCCCACATCACAATAGTTTCAGCCGCTAGCTTGTTTGCTTCCTTTTTTGCGTTCACTGCTGAGTGCCTTCTCTCTCTTTTTTTCCCATTTTTTAAAAAAACTTTAGAGTGCAGCGGTTAGCCGCCACTATTCACCCCTTTCACTTCGTGATGGGCAATTAATCACCGCTCCATTCAATCCAATGAAAATTCAATTTTAACGCGGGCGGGGGAAGGGGGGGGGCTTTGAGGACAAGATGATTCAGGACCCCAAGTTAGGAACAAAAAAAAAAACCCAAAAAACAATTTTGTTCGTTTTCGTCGATCTACATTGCGTTGTGTGTTTCCAGCTCCTCCCTGTATTAAAAACACACAAAGTGGTTCAAGTGTTCAGGATAAACCTGGTGCCCCCCCTACCTCATTCACGGCCCATCCCATGCCATATTAGAGCGTGAAGAAGCCCATTAATGTTTTGTTGAACAAGCATCATTAACTTGTATCACCGCCTTTTTACAAACGTGGCATTGTCGAGGCGGGGC